AAGTATGCATTGGTCTTCAATGTCAGCCATGTATACTTTGTGTCTGTCCTTCATGCCCTGAGCTCAATAGTTACCCACACTGGTCCCCACAACCTTGCATAATGTCCTGTATGCTTTTGTATGGCTTCTGGTACTCCTTTATGATCTAGCACCTTGATGCTCACAAGGGTTTGCTGAGATGCAGAATCTGTGACAAAGTTGCACTTTTAGACATCCAGCTTTCCTGTCACGTAGACACTATGTGTGCTTGCCATTTTGTACTTAGCTGTTGGGACTTTCACGATGGGGTTTGGTGGGCACCCCTCAACACCAACCACTACTGGTCTCCCTGAGGCTGACTTGTTGTTAGTATTCTTCTTACACTGGCTCCTCATATGTCCTTGCTCTCCACAGTTCCAACAACCTTTCTGGGTAGCAGCCTTTACTGCTGTATCATCTCCCCTGTGTTGAAGTTGCCAGCATTGAGCTCTCTTGTGCCCCTGTCTGTTACAGTGCCAGCAAAGTCCCTCAAAGCTGCCCTCTTCTGTTCTTGAATCCCGATGACTGTACCTACCTTGGTACCTCTGTGCTGGACTTAATGTAGGATTCGAATTCAAGAGCTCTGGCCATTGCATCCTGCATAGTAGAGGGGAGCGCTTGTTTTACTTGTATCTTCAGTTGTGGACTGCCCAAGGCATCTACAAACTGATCCCTCAGCAAGAACATTGGGTGGCACAGTTGGGTAGGCCTTGTGTGCCATACTTTCCAAATCCTGTGCCAGCTCTCCCCTTTAGCATGGACTCTCGTCCTAAACCTAGACCTGTATACTTCGGACTGATTTTGAGTTCCATACCTGAGTTCTAGAACAGGTACCAGTGCTCTATAGTTGTGCCTGTCATCTGCTGACAACTGTCCAAGTATTTCCAGTGGTTGTCCTTTCAAGCTCGTTGCCAGGTACAATACTTTCTGCTCCTCTGTCCATCCATTCATTTCTGTCAGGAGCTCAAATTGTGCTCTATATGCTTCCCATGGTGCCTTCCCATCGATTTCCTATTGCTGACACTCATGTCTGGAATGTGACTTCTGACAGGACTGAAGATGTCTGCATTAGGGTTTAGCTATGTGATCTGGAAGGGGCTTCCCGTTGCCTGAGGCTGATTAGGTCCATGGTTAATATATCCTCCCTGTGTAAAGGACAGTAAATCGTCCTTTAATGTATTTAATTCACTTTGAAATTTTCTAATGTTTTCCATTTGTACTTCTTGCCACTGTTGTTGACTTTCCTGTAGTTGCTGCTATCTTTCCTGCAACTGTTGGAGACTTTCTTCCTGTTTCCTTTCTTGTTCCAGTTTCCACTGCTGTAGTCTCTCTTCTTGTTTATTTTCTTTATCCTCCAACCACTGCTGTAGTCTCTCTTCTTGTTTATTTTCTTTATCCTCCAACAACTGCTGTAATCTCTTTTCTTGTTTATTTTGCTGTTCGAGCTGCCACTGTTGCAAGTTTTCTTGCCACTGCTGTTGTCTCTTTTCTTGTTTATCTTCTCATTCTTCTTGTTTCTTTTGCTGTTCTTGTATTGCTGCCATCAAATCTGCTAAGCTGTAGTTTGATTTGCCACTTCTCGTTTTCTTCTTTTTTTTATCCCACTTCTGAGACCAATTTGTTGCGTATCTGGTCGTTTGTTAATTTCCAGTATAAATTCTTTCCGAGAAACTTCAGTGATACAAGTCCTTTCTTAATTAAAGCTAGTTTATTCTTTCTCGATACAACTTTGCAATACACAGAATTTCCACATTCACTTTAAACTTGACTACTTTTATGAACACACGCTGTAAATTACAGTGATTCACACACTTTACTTACGGCTTGACTCGATTATCTCTATCTTCAATCTCTTTATCTATTTGCAATTATATCTCCGCTTTATTTGCCGGGCTTATATACTAAAATAGAGGGCGTCTGAAAAAGACTAGAGTTGCCAGGACAATTCACGATCCTT